TTTTTTTTTTTTTTTTTTTTTGTCGGCTGCGTGGCGCGAGTGAGGTACCCACGCGCCTTGGGGAACGAATATATACCGTAAAAAATACTTGTTCACATCACGAGGCATTTTGATGGCTGTAAGGGGTGGGGTGGTTACCACGAAGGGCCCGGGTAGAGGGGGGCGGATGTGGAGCCACCCGTAGCCGCCGTTTGTGGCTATGGTCGGCGGGCGACGTGAGAGGAAGCGAGCCGCCGGTTAGCTCGCAGCCGTTCGCCCCGAGCACACCGGAAGCCACGGCGGTGGATTTCACAATGAAACTTTCAACGTAGTGTGTTCACTCTCCAGTATCGTTTCAAGTATTTTTATTTTTATGATTAATTTTTCAATTTCAAGTTGAGTCCCATGTTAGCTGGTGAGCCATTTCCTGACTTGTCAAAGTCGCACTACCACGTTGAAAAGCCGCTAAATCCAGAATAATTATTTTGGTGGAACTACAGCTGTAAAAAGTAATTTTAGAATGACGAACACGATAATGCAGGTTGAGCGTTTGTCATTTTTATAATAAAATCACCGCTGGATTTCACAATACAAACCGGAAGTTTGCCTTGTTTAGAACGTCCGTCTTGATTAATGTGTTTGAATGGGATAATTTCGTATAAAACGTTAAGAGTGTGACTTTTTTATGTTTATATGATTCTGTGACCTCCAGGATGCATGTTATGAGAATTACTTGATTTTTAAAAAAATAACATACTTGTAAAGCAGACTTGCATAAGTGGTAATGCTACTGGAAAACGAGCAGGATTCCTCCAATGTGGCAAATTCACCTTGCTCACCACTTCCCCAATCCTTGCCGCATTGTTCCTCCATGTGTGCCTTTAATAACCGGAGAGGGACTCTACACGGGTAGCACGACATTGAACCCAGGCGTAGAAGGGCGTGGCGTTAACAGCATGTCACAAGTCAATGATGGAGAGGCCTGATGGCACCAATCAGCATCACTCACCTGCTGTCATCCAGTCCTAGACATGAACCTCAGTTTGAACCGTGCTAATGTACATCCATACCTCGCCGACTGTGCTAATTATAGCCTGTGAAGGATTGGCCAAGCCAGTGAAGTCGTGTTTGTACCCTAAGATGTCCATCAGCTCCCTGCGCGAGTGTTTTCACCATGTTTCACTGTGACTCACCTTTCCCACATGTGCATTATGTGTATTATGCTGAATATACTGTCCAAAAAAATGCATTTTGAAAAACCGTGCCGATTACCAAAAGAGCAACCCTCGCCATGAAACTCAAACAGTCTCTCAAATGGATTCTCATGTGGAGATTTACCGTATGCAAGATGATCTGACAATACCTGGAGATGGTGTTAGGACCATCCCCGCAGTACTGCGACATTCCGCACTAAAGCACAAAGTGCCCAGGAGAACACACTAAAGTGAAGCCCAAGAAGACAACAAAGATCATCAACCGCGATGCCCTTTTAGCAAATTAGACGTCAGATTCTCCTTCGAGACCTTTTGGCCTCAGTGGGCAGGTGTGGATTTCTCTGTGTCGGCCGGGCGGCAGGTGTAATTACAGACGCTGGGACGGGATGTCCGCCGTGCATGTTGCCCTGTTGTGAATTTTTTTTTTTTTTGAAATTGTAGCACCAAGACCATGTGGCAGGTATTTCACATTTCCAATTTAGGATCAGGTTATGAAAACAAAATGGAAAAACAGCACACAGAACCCAAAACATAATTGGTCAATTTTTTTGTCATTGCTTTTTTTTTAAGCTCAGTCCAAAATGTAAATGTAACCATGTGAACCATACTTTTGTCGTGAAGGCTGCCTTGTTTACCAAATGTAGCACTGTCTCTTCAAGAGTAACGCTAGATTAAAATCCCGCGGGAACATGTCGCGCGAGTGAGAATTAGACCAGGAAGTGATGTGAGGATGACATGCTCATCAAGTCAAGTACAACTTTATTGTCAAATATCAAAAGGAGGATAGTCGCTGAATTGTGCATGCCGCTTGTCCCAACTTGACATCGCCATCATGGTCATTGTAACCCAGGCGATATTCAGAGTGAGAGATTGCGGTTTGGGGAAATTGAATGCTTCCGCCGGTGTGTCGTGTGAACAGCTGTACAGCGTAAGTGTTCGCAACGTGACCAAATGTAAATATGTTTTTTTTTTTTACTGTGAAATTATATGAACAGTTTTTTTGTGTTCTTTTCAGGGGAGATCATTTGGGTTTTTCGTGTCCACCCAACACGCCGGAAAGTGTCGAATAAGTGCGTCGGTCTGCACTTTTAAATTTCGTGGTGTGTTGTGGCTTGGAAATAATGTCTTTTTATTTCTCTTTACCTATCAAGCAAGCCACTACTGTTGTCTGCTTATTGTATACTTTTAATCAGTTAGATAATTTTCTTTGATCTCTTAGGCCCCATTTTTTTTTAGTCCTTAAAATTCAGTTAACATCTCAGTCTTTTATCTTTTTAACGCTGTACATTTTTTTAATGTTCAGTCGGGAATAAAGCCCACATAAAAATTATTTTGGGTTCCGTCAAGTCTTTCCACAGACCCGGCTACATAAATATGAAAAAATAGTCTTTTACTTCTTTATTTTGTGTGTCTTATATAGGATAAGCGGTTGACATAATGGATAAATGGAATTTCAAAAAAAAGGCTAAATTTGGATTTTTGTCTCGCGTAGCTTGCATCCTGTTCCTTTTCCTCAAACGAGTTGCTAGCACCTCCGTTGGTCACAGCCCAGGTAGCTGCGCTGCATTTTGCCTCCGTTTCCTCCTAGCTAATTCTATGACAAGGCCCCTCCCTCGCGAAAAGCAATCAGTTTTTCTTCTTTACATGCATGTCCTGCTCGCTCCCGTCGGCTTGGGTTAGCATTTGTCGGACTGTTTTTGAAGCAGCCCCCCCCCCCGTCGTGGCAGCCACTTCTCTTCAATCCCGTC